CTTTTGAGGGAAGGTCACATAATAATAATGATGATAATAATAATAATAATAATAATAATAATAATAATAATAATAGTAATAATAGTAATAATAATAACAATAATAATAATAATAATAATAATAATAATAATAATAATAATTGTTTTCTCGGACTAAATCGATGAATAAGCGATTGAGGGACTACATTGACAGTTCGCTAATAATTGAGGGGCCAAATCGTTGATTAACTATTATTATTATTATTATTATTATTATTATTATTATTATTATTATTATTATTATTATTATTATTACACTTTTCGTCTAGGGTAATTGTATAATTCATCCCTGAGTGTTAGTCATGCTCACTTTTCATCCACAAGTTATCATTGGCGTTGCACTTTTCGTCCCTAAGTTATACTAAAATGATAAATTTCGTCCCTAATGTTTTATTAGTAAAGGGACGAAAAGTGCAACGTCAATAATAATTTAGAGACGAAAAGTGAATATGACCAACACTTAGAAATGAATTCTACAATTACCCTATAACTTGGGGATGTAAAGTGCAATTTTCCATTATTATTATTATTATTATTATTTTTTTTATTATTATTATTATCATTATTGTTGTTGTTGTTGTTGTTGTTGCTGCTGTTGTTGTTGTTGTTGTTGTTGTTATTATTATTATTATTATTATTATTATTATTATTATATTATTATTATTATTATTATTATTATTATTATTATTTGGTATGCGATAATGACAGGTACGGGTTGCCTTTTGTGTCGCCTAACAATATACTTGTGACAACAATTGATGGAATCGGAACGGTAATTGAGTTAGCATTTGTGGTCATATTTATAGTATTTGCGCCAAAGAATGAAAAGAAAAAAATCGGAGTGCTCCTTATTTTAGTGGTCGGAATATTCGTTGCCGTTGCGCTTCTTTCGGTGTTTGTTTTCCATGGGAGAATCAGACAGCTCTTTTGCGGTTTCGCTGCCTTAATCTGCGCTGCCATTATGTACTTCTCGCCTCTATCAGTCATTGTAAGCTCTTCTCATCTTCCCCTTTCTCAACCTTATAAATTACTAGTCATTTTTTGTGCTGCACTTCATTATTATTATTAGAGTTTTTTTTTGAGAAATTATTATTATTAAATTTAATTTCAGGAATAGTTCCTTGACTATTGTCATTTATTAATTTTTATTCTTCTATTTTTAATTGGATTATAAATGTTCTCTTGACTATTGATTTTTACCAATTTTCATTCTCAACTTTTAATTTAACTATTGATCTTTTCCAGGATATTGAAATAAGCCAGCCTAATTTATTAAAAAAAATTAATATATAGCTTTTCAGTATAGCCAAAGGAGGATAATTATTTATCATCCAGTATGCTATTATTGTACAACATTATATTTGAACATTTTAAAGTAAAATGAACATTCTTTTTTTTTTTTTTTTTAGGAAAACAAAAAATTAGTAGTTTTTCATCTTCATGAAAATTTGATGAGTGCAGAGGGTTGTGATGAAGACAAAGAGTGTAGAGTTCATGCCATTCCTCTTGACTTTCTCCATGGTCCTATGTGCCACTGCTTGGCTCATTTTTGGCCTCCTTGAGAAGGACCCTTTTGTTTATGTAAGCTACCACTTCCAAATCTTATGCATGCTTAATCATTAATAAATATATATTAATATATATGAAAAAAATTGCAATTTATGTCTTTCAAATATAAACTAATTATAAATGTCACCTTTCAATTCTAAGTGGTATAAATTTGATCATATATATATTACCCCCATATATTGTAATTTATGCTCCTCAAGAAGGGAAACAATTATACCACTTAGAATTGAGGGGGTGATATTTATAAATAGTTTATACTCGAAGACATAAATTACAATCTTTCTAATATTTTCCTCCATCTAATTAATTACATGTTACTCATATATGTATGATTATAAAGGTACCAAATGCCGTTGGATGTGGTGTCGGAGTATTGCAATTGATACTATATGCAATCTATAGTGAGAAGACAATATTCATGACCATCAAGAGATCTTTTTCCCATGGGATGCTCCAAATCAATGCCATGCCCCAACATGAGAAGAAGCAACCAAGCATCACGTCATCAAAATATGATGAACTAGTCTAGTGTTTGTGCGGAAATCAATGGTATCGTACTTTGTAGTTTCCTGGCCTCTTGTTGGAAATATATAGTGTGAACGAAGCTCAAATTCACACACTTCTGTTCCTTGTTACACATGTACTTAATATATGTGTATAAAGCGTGTAATGAGATGTTTACTATGTAAGTTATGGCTTTAATTTATATATATAATTAAGTTGTTATTGATTAAGGTTTAACACTTGGCCTGGTGATGCAAGTCAGTAAAAATTTAAGAATATTTACGGGAATAATGAGTGGTAGGAAAACATTTTGCAACAATTACTATGGACATTTAGGAGTACTAAAAAAAATTTGTTTACTGTCACTAATACAAATTGAATCAAAAATTTGAACTATATTCATATGTTGTAAAAAAGAAAAAAGAAAAAAGAAAAAAGAAAAAAGCTCCTAAAACTGTGTAGTTGTTGTAAGATATTTAATTTGTTAATTTTCAATAGTTGATCTTTTGGTGATCTTCGGTAGAGTCTACATTACGCCAGAGAGAGAACCGAGAATAAAGAAAGAAAATAGGAAACAGTAATACAGAGACACAGAGTACTCAGGGAAAATTATGGAGAAAATCTTTCATTCATTCAACCATTGTACAATATAATACAAATATATATTCTCCTACAAACCATGCGAATTACAAACCACTACTAAATAATGGCCACATAATTAAAACTTCATAACACTCTCCCTTGGACATTATCTTCCCGTGATCATGCCTCACTAAAAATCTTGCTAGGAAAACCCTATGAGAAAAACCTAGTCAAGAAAAAGAGTAAATGATGTATCTATAATCATGGATTATAAGGGGTGCCTCATAAAAACCCTTATGCTAAGAAAACCCAGTTGGAAAAAAAAAAAAAAAAAAAAAACTTAGCTAAAGGAAAAAGGAGTACAAACATAAACCAGTCATAAACCAGTCAAGATTTTGAGGTTTGTCTATTTAAGTATTTATTTGCACATTCTCCCTTTTTACATTACTATATCATACTCATGTCTCGCTAAAAACCTTACAAGAAAAATCCAGTGGGGAAAACTAGTTGAGGAAAAGAGTGCATGATGTATGTGTATTATTGTTTTAGATTAGCTGCCTCATTAAAAACCTTAGATTTAGGAAAAACACCATGGGGAAAAACTTAACTAATGAAAAAGAGTACAACTGTTAGTCGTCAAGACCCAATCTTCATGATTAACTCATGTAAAATGATACTCCCCCCTCAAGATAACAATCTTCAAATCCCACACATAAAATATATTTCCAAATATATATTTGTAGAAACACATTGGACAAATCTTCTGGATTGTCACTAGAGCGAATATCTTGCACAATAATTTTGTGACTCTTCTAGAGCTCATATGGGTTGAACTTTGATGTTATATATGCTTTGTCAAATATTCTTTAACATACTCATATATCATTTGTGCAACACAAGCGTTATTGTCCTCATTTAGGACATTGAGAGCAATTCATTGTTTAACCAGTTTGGGATTTGGCATCACGGGGATCAAACAAAATAGCCAGTACCCAAGTAACCGATCAAACCATACATTTGTTTTCACATAAATGTCAAAATCTTTTGTAACTCGAGGAATATATTAAACACTATTCTAATATTTAATTATAGAAGGAGCTCTAGATGTTGCTAGCAATTTCATCGCAAATATCATGCCGGTTGCGATTATGGAACTTCTGGTTCTAAAATGGTGCTTCAACAACAATGAAGTAAGGGACTTTCAAGGTATCCTCACCGAGTCTAAATGGATCCTTATCCACTTCAAGAGATTATTAGACAATCTTTTGTTTGATAAATCATGAGACTTATCCATATAAACATGTGAAATGCGTTTTTAGATATGGGCCAACTGGTGTATAAAATTCCTTCAAGGAAATACTCGATCTGCAGGTCGAGATCATACTTGGGTTTCCCAAGTCTTTCATCTCAAACTCTATCGATAGGCTTGAACTAATATCATTAAGCTCTTTATGTATTTCGATCATCTTTATACCATTTATATGGACTAAGATAATAGATAAATAACTCCATTAGCAACTCCTTAATGAGCACATATTCTCTATATATTCCTTATTCAAGAGGAAAAACACTTAGTCAATTATTTATATTTCAGGTCATATAACTACTTTTAATTTGTAATTTAATAATATACATGTTGCTATTTTCATTTTTCTCATATTGAGAACTTAAAATCCTTCAGGGACTTTTCGACATTAATATTAGCTGCATATCTAAGTTTATTATTCTACCAATGAGATTATGTAGCGGAACTTAATGCCATTTACTGTGGGAAAATATATTTGATTAAAATCAATCAAAGATCTCTGCGTGAACCCATATGCTACAAACTCGCTTCATATTATATCACCTCGTTGTTCTTATTTCTCTTTCGTGCACACACCCATTTGTAACCTTCAGGGTTAACGCTCAAAAGTGTATTGTTATAAAGAGAATATATCATTTTAGCGAGTTGAGCTATGCCTTAATTGCCCCTTTATACGTTAAATAGTCATGGCACTTCCGTTGCTTAACTCTGGATCCAGATTATCATATAACGAGCAATTTGTAAAGGCAATTGTGTTGCCGACAACTATAATATTTTTATAAATTTCTCCCATATTTATAATGAAAAAAAATCACCATTTTGGTCCATCAATTCGTTTTGAGCGAACAATATATCAATCTCTTCGTCTAACTAAGAAGAACCCAAATCCATTTTTACCCGACCCAAATTGAAAGTGGACCCAACATATATTTGTACCACAAAATAGTCACTTATTATGCTATTTTCTTGCAATTTTTTCAACATAACAATTCATTATGAACTAAATGTTAAGGGTTTGATCTTTGGATTTGGGTATGGAGTAGTCCTTTGTTCCACCCAAAATGTAGGAAAATTAATTTTTCATGCGCAATGCACAAAAACCAATGCCCAATATTAGTACTCTATAATAATAATAATAATAATAATAATAATAATAATAATAACAATAATAACAATAACAATAACAATAAAAATAACAATAATAATAACAACAATAACAATAACAATAACAATAATAATAATAATAATAATAATAACAATAACAATAACAATAACAATGACAATGACAATAACAATAACAACAACAACAACAACAAAATAATAATAATAATAATAATAATAATAGTAATAATAATAATAGTAATAATAATAATCGCCTGTACACCTTGTCGGCAACATATATTCTGCTGCTTTTATGCTATAACCTTTTCGCTATTTATGTACGAAGATTTAAAAAAAAAGTTATTTTAAAACACAAATTGACGTAATTTCATAATTTTTATCTTCATTATTGCTTGTAATTAAATTGGTAACTCTTTTTTCATAAGTGCCCAAGAACAAATTCATATGCCCTATATTCAAAACGATCAATATCAAATTTGTTAGGATCAAACTCTTATCAAATGTAATGTTCAATAAATTAATTTGGTTAACCATTAATCGAATTAGTTAAAATTGAATTAACTAGAATTTTATTTTTGTGAAACTCTTAACGAAACAAAAATACAATTTTTTGAATTAATCAAAACGTTATTTATATTATATAATATATTTAATGTGTTCCTTTTAAATTTGAAGAAGCATATATAGTCATTAATCTTTTCCTAAGAACCCCTAACATTGGATATATACAATATACCTTTGACTGCATTCTGCATGCAGTACCACATAGAGTGGACATCAGCAAGCCGTAGAGTCATCAAAGATACCTATTTTTTGGACCAACCAAATTGACAGAAAGAATTGGTTCGTTTGGCAGTTATCATGGCATATATGCACCTAAGAAAATGACAACAACACTGTATATGCATGAGGGCCTGTTTTCAACTTGCATTTGATGAGTGGAATCTCAAAAAAGAAAAAAAAAAAAAAAAGTTTAAGTGAAATATATACTTTTGGTCTTTTTTCTTGAATGGGGCTTAGATTTAAAGCCTTAGTCTATAAGAGCACCCTCATCAGTGCATTATTCATAGTTTTTGAGGATTAGAAGGCCAACATGGCGGAGAGAGAGGCAAGAGAGAGAGAGAGAGAGTGGGAGGACCTTCTGCAAATTCAAAGTTTTTTTAGAAATATGGGACATACTGAAAGCAACTTCCCGCGCACAGAGCTCGATTGCATCTCACTACTGCGCCCGCTCATCAAAAATAGCCAAAAGATAGTCAAGTCACAGAAGCATTCCAATAACTTAGACAATAAACCAAAGGTCTAAGTCCATGAATTTGGAATCTTAATCATACACCATAACTTCCCAAATAACTTCAATGTCCATTTTAAATGAACTGAACATAATGAGTCTTACTTATATGTCCCACAAAATTGTTTTGAGCCTTACGACCGAAATGGCCCAGGATCAATTTTGAAGAAACTAAAGACTCTATTAATCACTGAAGAATTTATTAAATTACAGTGCACCACAAGTTAAATGCTTTTGTTCTAATAAATTCCTTAATATTGTTGCAACATTTTCATAAATATGTTGTACAACCAAATGTTCTACTTAAGGCATGCTTATAAAGTTTTAGAGATCATACAGTGTACTCTTTTGTACAATTTGGATGCGTTTTCTCCTTCAGTTGTGCACATAATGTATTTTGAGAAACATCCCTTAAGGTACCGAGAATAAACATAGGGTTTGTTCATTAAGGACCTAAGTTGAAGAATTAAAATGCATGTGACCATAATAGATACTACTCTTATTAAAAAGAGGAAATGTCACTATGATTCGTGTGTTTTGTTCTTTGATGAAGGTTGTGCTAGCACTTGCACCAAGTGGGAGAATATAAGATTTTCCCTAATAATATATATTATATATTATATATTAGGGCCTTAATTAAGTGGTGCAAGTTGACTAGGCTTATTAAGTGGTCTGGTTGGACTGAATAACTGTACTAGAAGTTGTTAGTCCACCAAACTCTGTGCCTAATATAATCCTGGATTGATGGGATACAGGATGATGATGTTAGCACATTCAGTTACGGTACTCAGACTGCTCAGTAGATACCAATACACCATCTAGGGTTCTGAGTCAGGTCTGAGGCAAAACATGGCTAACAGTCTACCGTTAAAAGGCAACACAACAGGAACATCAACTATGGCTGGAGATCTACATGGCTACGCTTCCGCTATCATACGAGGTCAGGTTTCTCATATACTATGTATCACATGCTTCATATAATATGTGATAATAGGATCGACTAACCTCCAGCCATAGTTCTTGATACGGTTGAGCGATCCGGACTGCTGCAGAGATAACGAGTATTTTGTCTCTCACTTTACTCAGCTCTCTTTAGATGGTGTATGAGGTATGTGATGTGAGCAGTGAGAGGACTAGTGACCTTATATAACCACTGGTCATCATTGTGGTTGATTGTCTTTAGGTCTCCTAAACCCTAACAGACTCCTAATCATAATGGTAGTCTAGCTATTAGGTTATTAGTGTTGCACCACATATCAAATACTGAATATTATTATATATAGTATACGAGAAACCTAACCTCGTACGATAGCGGAAGCGTAGCCGTGTTAATCTCCAGCCATAGTTGATGTTCCTGTTGTGTTGCCTCTTAACGGTAGACCGTTAGCCATGTTTTGCCTTAGACCTGACTCAGAACCCTAGATGGTGTATTGGTATCTACTGAGCAGTCTGAGTACCGTAACTGAATGTGCTAACATCAATCATCCTGTATCCCATCAATCCAGGATTATATTTGGCACAGAGTTTGGTTGACTAACAACTACTAGTTATTAAGTCCAACCAGACCACTTAATAAGCCTAGGTCAACTTGCACCACTTAATTAAGGCCCTAATATATAATATATAATATATATTATTAGGGAAAATCTTACATTCTCCCACTTGGTGCAAGTACTAGCACAATCTTACATTCTCCCGTTGGGCGCATTAAGTGCTGACAATTTTTTTTTTTTAATCAGCTTTATTTTTTTTTTTTTCTTGTTTTTTTTTTTCTCTCCCCTCCCATATTCTCTTTCTTAATCACACTTACAAAAACTCCTTAAAAACAACCAAAAAAAAAAAAAAAAACTCTACTATTATCGGTGGTCAACATTAGCATTTACCAAAACCCAAGAGGAATGGAAAAGGAAATAGTGCCTAAAAGATGTTATTAAAAGAGCATGAAATATATAACTTAAGCAAGAAATTTAGTTTTACAAATCAATGTGTATGCAAAATGCTTTTATCTTGGGAGATCAAAGCGTTGCTAAATGGGGTCCAACCAAGATTTTATTACGTTAGTCTCATCGCGTAGAGTGTACATGTATACTAAGCTAGTGAAGTATACAAAAAATAATAATAAAATAATCAACATATATGCAACAATAATTTCAGGAGAATTTCTCTCCAATGGTTCTTGATTGAAACTCGATCATATTAGTCTTATTCAACATAAATTACTTGCTTCATTATGCGGAGAAGAAAAAAAGACAAACAATAGCGCAATAATCTAAGAATCACATTCGGAGAAAATTGACTAGCATCATAATCACAATCATATTCTGGCAAGATTTCAACACATTAAACATAGAATTCTAACACTATTATCCAGTTAGAAAGGGTTACAGATACCTTTTCTTTAAACAAAAAAAAAAACAAAAAAAAACAAAAAAAAAAAACAAAAAAAACAAAACAAAAAAAAAAACAAAAAACAAAAAAAACAAAAAACAAAAAAAAAAACAAACAAGCAGGGACCCTTTTAAGGAAAAAGTGTCGTGGATTCTTAACTTTCCGCAACCTTACCATAGGCGAGCTTTGTACAAAGTTAGGGATGAAAATAGATTTGGTTGAACCGAGCTTTATAAAATTAGGTCTGAGACTATTATAGAAATCTAAGGCCTGAGCCTGAGTCTAGGAATAGTTATCGCATGGACCGTAGTTCACATAGCTTTGTGGACCATGGTCCAAAAACGACATTCTTTTGCGTAATTTTTTTCACACGACCCATTGCAACATACATTTTTATAACTCATAGTGTACATTATTTTAAAGCATAATGTACATTATTCAAACTTATAAAGTACATATCTTACCTCAAAAGTTTCATTACTAACATATATAATGTACATTATTCTAACTCATAAACGTCGTTTTAGACCGTGGTCTACACAGCTATGTAGACCACGGTCCACACAATAATTTTCCTTAGTCTAAGCTGTATGAAGGCTTTTTTTTTTTTTTTTTTTAAGGTTCAAGCCTGAGGCTAAAATTGGTTTGGTCTAGCCTGAAGTCTGTTTAAATGCTTATTTAATATGTAGGTCATTAATGTTTTTTTTTTAAAAAAAAAATTCAATCCTAATACTCGTGCCTCAAAAAAAAAGTTAGTGATAACAATGACCAAGAAAAGAAATTTACGAATTTATCTAGATAACAACCAAGAATTGCTGCCTCGCAGTCACAAGGGATAAGAGTGATTAGATTAGTGACATTAATATTAGACTAGTTGGATCGGACCATTTAAATACATTGTTCTCACTAACCCCTTCAACTTTATTAAGACTAAATAAATAACCCTATTATTTCCAATCGTTATGCTATGGACCCGTGTCCAGCATCCATTGTAGACACAGTAACGGTGCCGTTAGTGGTACTGTTATCTTTTTTTTTTTTTTTTTTTTTTTTTTCAGACCGCTTCGTTAAGCAGTATATGTTCATAATTTTATCACTATATGTTCATAATTGTAAGTTCATAATGTCAGAGCTCTGTGTTCATAATTCCATAATTGTACATTCATACTTCCGTAACTGTACATTCATAATTCCGTAACTGTACATTCATAATTCAATAAC